GATTATGAGGCTATGCTACAATCCGCACCAATGTCCCTTGGCCGCTTGCCGATATTCCTCTTATCTCTGTCGGTAGGTCCCCAATTATCATAGAAACCCTAAACAATCTCCAATTTGCCAACTCCCAATACCTCTTTAAACTGTTGGCAAATATCCTCTATCCGTACAATCAGATTAATACAACCACGCATGCATTGAGCATACTCAACCTTCTAGACAACTCTGAATTTCAACCACAAAAGTATCTCCCATTCCATCAATAATCAAGAGTATCAGCCTTTTCTCTCTTCCGAAAAAATCTAGTTCACTAATATAATACTGACTTTCAGCAACTCCCCTCTCAGTTTCCCCAAAATCCTATATATAAAAAAAAAACCCCAATTCTCCATCTTTTTCCAAAAGCATGAAGCTAGCTCTCCGACCTAAAATCCCAATTTTTCGTCTTTTTCCGAAAGCATGAAGCTAGCTCTCCGACCTAAAACCTTGATTCTTGAAAAAAAAATCTATTTCTAAACCTACCCTTCCCTTTTATCTTGAGAAGATCCTATTCTTTCGCCTTGAACTCCCCGAATTAGAACAGCCGACCCCCCCGCTTTTTCCCTCCCATTTTTACCTTTAAGAGATCATTTTATCAAAAGGACGTTCTCGGTACGGCACAAAGAATGAAACAGCCTGAAACGAAATCGAAGCCCTGTAATTGGACTGCATTGAGTTGTCCAACCAAGTCAGGTCTCGTATTAGGTAAGACGCCCGTAATAGGACCTGGATTAGATGTCTTCTAAAATTGGATCCAATTAGCTCTCCAAACCAGGCTCACCCAACGTTGAATTGGTCCTTTTCCTTCCTGCTGACTCCCGTTACTGGAATCAAATGGAATATTTTGTTATTGGTGAGTATGCCCCAGCTGATTGTAATGGGGTGACTGAACCTGGCCTCTCAATATTTGCACTGGAATTGGCCGCTGCTTCTAACATCTAAGGTCATTAAATATTAATAAATCTTCTTCATTTATATTTTCATCATATAGACGTATTACAACACGACACCGCAGCCCTCAAGCCATTTATTGATAATTACTATTATCGATAACTTACAAATAAAAACTAATTTAAGAGCTTTCCTACTAGCTAATCCATATAAATAGTAAAACTTGTTATTAAGTCAACCTACACTTCCCATGATCTCCAACCAATGCCTTTTATAAAAAGGACCAATGATTGACATCCATTTGCGACAAGATCATAAAAAATCACCATAGATTTCAATCAATGCATAGGTTTTCAAATAATAATAACTTAATTAATTAAAATATTTGCTAAAAAAATTACTAACTTAAATATAATAATCTTTAGAATAGATTCTTTAGAAAATAACTTGATTTGTTGTTGTAAGAGTAATGATTGAAGAGTAGAATAATTCTCCATCTCCTTCCTTCACGATCACTTGTAGCTTCAAGAGTAGAGTAATTCTTCATCTTCTTTCACCATCACTTGTGGCTTCAAGAGTGGAATAACTTTCTATTATTTTTTACCATAGTTTGACTACAACTAACTTCATTTTTCCTAAAAACCTCTAATTTTTCATAATTAATAAATAAATAATACTATATCTTCTTGAAATACCAAAAATTATATAAAAAAATTTTGGTGCATTATTTTGGACTCGCACATGATTTTGAACAAGATTAGATAATGATATTTGATCCTTTATATACTCCTATGAGTCATATCAATGTAATAAAGTACGTAATGCGACATCTCCTAGATTATTGGAGCCAATTTCACTATCTACGGCATGTTGGGATCAAATAACTAGTGATTTTATTACTTGTTTGCTGCAGATGCCTCATAATCATACCACAATTTCCATCTTTATAGATCAATTCTTGAAACAAAATATTGGTAGAATCCAAAGAATTCAACTATCCACAAGTAAAAAATAACAAATTATGGCATACTATATAGATAATACATCATTTATCTTATGTAAAAAAGAAAAATTTACTTGTAATCTCATTTCTCTTATTGAAATATTTTTCTTAGATTTTTAATTTAATATAAATTAAAACAAATCAAGTAGCTATTAAAAAGGCTATGATAATTTATCACAATCTATATGAAAAAATTATCTAAAAATAATATGGGATGATCAAGATGAAATAAGTAAATTATAGTGCACCTTCTTTGGTTTGTCACTAAAATCTTAGGATATTGATAAGTTCCTAGAATCACATATTAAGAAGAAGCTCACCTACTAGTATATCAAACAAATTAATACAATTAGTAGATATATTGTAGTTAATAGTATATTACTATCTTCATTAGTTTTCTTCATATTGGCATAGGAAGACACAAAAAAAGACTAAATAAAATTAAGGCTTATTTGAGAATATATCTTACTATTGTTACTATAAAATAATCAAATTTAAGAATTGGATGGTTGTAATATCGTCAACTTAAATCTTAGGGTGATATTAATGTTATTCATCTTAATGATGCTATTTTAATATTATAGTCAAGATAATCATTAAGGCACTAGAACAAGATCAATCAAATCTTTAACTTATATTGAAATATAGAATTGGTTGCTATCAACCATATGTTAAAGAAAAATGGGAAATTAATTTAGATTATTTTACATTATCAACTTACCTAAGCCATTGTGGATCCATTGTATGGAATTAAATTACCTTTGCTTCAAAAAAGCTCTTCTATGAATTCACTTATATACTACCAAATAACATGAATGACCTCCTAAGTTGTAGCATGTGGCACTCTCTGACTATCACTTTGATAAGGCTTGGATTTTCTTAAATAAAGGCCTTACAATTAAATAATATTAATATAATGTCTATAGAGATGTATAGAATGGTAGTAATTTTATCACTATAAAGGAAGATGCAACCGAATTTGGCCTAGCCCTAAGTAAATAGGGATATAGAAGACCATATACAAGTAAATATATAATTCTTAAAGATTTATATTGAACTCAAGATAAATAAGTTATGTAGAAAGTGAGTGGATAGAGGTATATGATGTGGATAATGATCCTTTCTTATACACAATCTTTTATGTTAGTGCAGCTAATGCTTTAGCAATAAATAAAATATAATTTTGAATACTAATTGTAGAGCACATATATTACATTTACAAAAATACATAAAGTCTCACCTTAATTCTAATATAGAACATAATTGTATGGGATTCTACATCCACTATCAATAGAGTTATATACATTCTAATGCATGGTAAAATTCACTAGATACAAATTGTGCAAGTATTGTAAGGCCAACAAAAACATAACGTCCACTTCTTTTATGACACTTTAGACTAATTTTAGTAGGATCTAGAGAGATTTTGTTGGCTAAATAAAAGATTGTTATTATACTATTTTATACAATTAAAAAAAATTATTGCAATAAAAATATATAATATCAATTATAATAGAGTCTAAATGGGTAGGATTATTGTCAATCTTGTATAAACTCTAATGGCTTAATATTTGGCTCAACCATCAAACAAGGAAGGAAGTTGGCTTCTTCTAATTCATTTGGTATTGTATAGTTGCTATCATTGTCTAAAAAGAAAGAAAAAATACAAATATTGACCAAAGTTATTCTGTGTGCTTTGAAGAGAAATCCAAAATTATAATACATAAAGTCTTAGAGTGTCTTGTAGCTAACAAAGTATGAGTGTGGAAGCATAGTATTGTAAATAAATTTTTTAATCAATACATAGTGATATTATTCAAGTAAAAGACAAGGAGAGGAGGAAAAAATGTCTCTATTAGCTGGATTAGATTAAATCCAAGGAGTAGCAAGGGAAATTATTGTACAAATATTGTATCTCTATCTAATTGAAACAATATTAGAGGGAATCAAAGCAATCATGTATTCAACTTTATATAGAAACTAAGGGATTCTTGTCAACAAGATTCTACATTGCAATAGAAAAAAGAATTGCCTATGGTTGCTATTATGATAGATAATTATATAGAATATTTAGATAAAAGAAAAAATTACGGCCTTCAATAATTAGCATTGGCATCAAGAGCAAATTTTTAATATATTATGATTATATTTGATTGACTATGGAAGAAAAAAATAAGCATTGACAAAGACAAAGATAAAAAAAAAGACTCATAATCAAGCCCATTTAATACTAGAAGCTTTTTATCTCCAATGATATGAAAATGTGATAGACGCATTATGAGTTACAAGTACTCTTCAATAGACTTTGATATGCCTCAATTTGATAAACTAAGATTATAATAGGAATAAGGATCTTTTGTAGAAGCTAGTCTTAGTCAACATGCTTATATGTTTATTTATATGTGTAATAAAGTTTCACTTTACTTGCATCAAAAAATAAAATAAAATAAAACAAAATGTGATATAATTTTTACGACAACTAAATTAACTTGTAGTATATACTAAAATTTGAAAGATCTACCAATAACTTTATAAACCATTTAAACAATAGATATTATTTTTAAAATAATATAATATGTATATTAAAATTACAACTAAATAATCATCTTTTAAAATCTAATTAAAAATATTTTATATAAGTTCTATTATAATTATTTTTTATTGTAATAATATTATATTATAATTAGTATTATTTAAATTAAAAACATATTTTAATTCTATAGATACATAAAATTTTATGTTGTATTCTTTTAAAATTTATATTATAAAAATATTTAAGTTAAATATTTATTTTTTTAAAGATAATTAAAAATAATAATAATACCTATATATGTTAATTTTATTTTTTATAAATATATTTATTAAAAAATAAAATTATTAATTATTTCAATTTAAAAAATAATTAAACAAAGAATTATAAATTTACAAAGAATTATATATGTAATATAATTATTTTATTAAAATTAGATAAAATACATTTATATATGATTGTAATTTTTTAAGGTATACATTAAAGCGATTAAATAGCATAAACACTAGCTACAAGATAGATTAATTTTCTTGTCAAATACTCAATTGGGACCTTCCATCAGGAGCCGCAGATGGCGTTGCGAATCATCCATCAGTGGATCCGTCCGAATCTGGAGTAAAGGTAAGAATTTCAAGTAACGACCTGTCTGGTACATTAATTTGTGAGCTTTCTGTGGAGCTCTGGATCCTACAAAAACGAAACAATCTATGCTGCTCAGAAAGCTACGGACCTACAAGTAGCACTTCCTTATCTCGATTGCCGGTATTGCTGCACGGTTCCCTCTCACAGTATGTGGTTGACCGGCTTCTTGTAGGTGATCGTAAGAATGCGCCCCCTCAACAAAAAGGAGGCTGCTGAGGAGGCCACAAATGTCGTGCAAAAATTATCTGGTGACTCCCTGTCGCTTGGTGACCAGCAATTCACATTCGATTCTGTGGCAGGTGAAACTGAGTCTCAGGTTAGTCCTCTTGCTCTAAAATGTCATGTCGCCTGAAAGCAACCATTGAGTGGGATAACGTGTCGCTGAAATTCTCATGTGCGTATCTCATTTGGAAGTTGATGGTTTGATGCCATTGTAATGTCACTCTCAGGAAGCTGTTTTTGAAATGGTGGGTCGACCCATGGTGGAGAACTGCTTGGCTGGATTCAACAGTTCCATCTTTGCCTACGGCCAGGTACCGTGCTCAGCATGTTGTCACAACGTGGTCGTGTCTTGCCAAGTCTAAGTTGGTGATTGTTGACAGCCGCCGCCACCGAGTACGATCATTTGCAGAGTTATCCGTCCTTGGTTTGATGCGAGAACACTCACTCTCTCTTTTGTGTCATGCGAAACAGACAGGAAGCGGTAAAACGCATACCATGTGGGGTATCCTGCCTACTTCAGGGACGGATGCAAGTGTAACAGAGGAGCGTGGTATCACACCACGTGTGTTCGAACAGCTGTTTTCCCGCATCCAGCAGGTACATCGGCAGTGCAAGCATTACGTGTTTGTGATGCTTAGCTCACACAATGCGTGCAACGGAGCATGTTGAAGGCAATCTGGGTGTTGTTTGGGACAGTGAGGGTAGTGAACGTAGCCCAGTGGTACTCCGGCTTACAAGCGTTTCCGTTTCGATGCAGGAAGAGCGGAACAATGTGGAGAAGCAGCTGCGATATCAATGCCGCTGCTCGTTCCTTGAGGTAGTGGAGGTGGCGTGAAATTTGATGGCAGTAATGACTGTGCGGAGGAATGGGATGGGGGTGACAGAAGGAATGCATGTGTGCTGACGGATTACGGGGACTGTGGTGTGGCAGATATACAACGAACAAATTACAGATCTACTGGAGCCGACCCAAAAGAATCTCCTGGTTCGCTGTTGAACCAAGTGTTTGATGTGTTTGGTGAAGTTGGAATGTGGGATGGCATGCGTGCATGACGTTGGTCCGGAACTGATTACAGGGTGTGTGAACAGATCAGGGAAGACACGAAGACCGGTGTTTACGTGGAGGGGTTGACGGAAGAGTATGTGTCGAACATGGATGACGTGATAAGCCTTCTCGTTCGGGTATGTGGCGAAGTTTGCAGTAGAGGTTTGCGTTGTGGTGTGGGTTGGTGACACGGCTTAGGTGTTCCTCGTGCAAAGCCTGGGAGTGGCATGTATTGGAGGGAAAGCAGAATGATTGCGTGGGTGAATGTGGAGCGTAAGGGGATGAGATCGAGTGGGAATGTGGTGTGTTTTGAATGCAGGGCTCCGCGAATAGAAGAGTCGGGTCAACAGCGATGAACAACGAGAGTTCGCGGTCGCACAGCGTGTTTACTTTTGTGATCGAGTCTCGATCCAAGGTACTGAATTAGCAATGTTGATGCCGACGTGAACGTGGTGGAGTTTCCGTGGGTGTGGAAGGTGCTCGGATTTGCCTAGTGCTTGCGAAGTGATTGAAGTGAATGGGGTGTTGTGAGTTGAGGAATGTCCAAGTTAGGCATTGAGCTTCCTTGAAGCGTTCGAGAGTGATGATGAGGAGTGTTTGGGGTGTGGGCAGAGTGTTGCGGAGGGTGTGAGCAGTGTGAGAACAAGCAGAATGAACTTGGTAGATTTGGCGGGCTCGGAAAGACAAAAGCAGACAGGGGCTGCCGGAGATCGTTTGAAAGAGGCTGGCAACATCAACAAGTCGTTGTCTCAACTTGGGTGAGTGACATCCGGAACCCGAGGAGTTGATCCCCAGGCGTCCAAGGAGCCGCGTCTGGTTGGTGTTGTTGCAATGTGGTAAGTAGGAACGTGAGGTGACGGGCGGCACTGGTTGAGGGCGAAATGGGAACGGTGGAAGGTGGCATGACGTGGGGGTTGCAGTGGAGAGGAAGTGGCAGTATTGTGACGAAAGCGTGTTGTTTTGGTGGTGTGGGCAGGAACGTGATCAACATCTTGGCGGAAGTAGCACAAAGTGGGAAACATCGTCATATCCCGTACCGGAGTTCGAGGCTGACGTTCCTTCTTCAAGAATCACTGGGCGGCAATGCGAAGCTTGCGATGATATGTGCCATCTCTCCAGCCAGCAGGTAGGAGGGATCGTTTGTGCAGTTTGGGTACGTGATGTGGTTGATAAGTGAAGTGAAAGTTCTAACAAAGAGGTTGTGGATTGGTGGTACAGTTGTCGGACTGAGACGCTGAGTACACTGAGATTTGCTCAGAGAGCGAAAGCTATACAGAACAAAGCAGTAGTGAACGAAGAACTTGGTAACGATGTGAATCTGTTGCGTGAACAGATCCGTCAACTGAAGGTAGGGTTGAAGCAGAATGTGCATGCTTCAGAGTAAGGGTTGGAGGTTGATGCGTGTCAGTGAGTAGTGGAAACGGTGGGGGACGAGGGTTTCATGTGAAGCAGTTTGTGTGTGTGTTGCATTTGAGGGTGTAATGAATGGTTCTGGGTATGATGCTGCAGGATGAACTCATGAGGATGAAATGCAATAGTATTCAGACTGAAGGTTCTGCTGGAGGACTGTCTAGTGGATGGAATGCCCGTCGCAGCTACAACCTTCTGAGACTGAGCTTGGGACAGCCCATGACTATCGCTCCGAATGAAATAAAAGAAACTGACATGCCGCTCGAAGAGAAGATTGGTGAGGATGAGTTCTTTGATGCTAATGCAGGTGACAAGTTACTTGCCTCTGATGTGGATGTGGAGACTAAGGAGCTTTTGACGAAGGCTGAACTCAACACTGGGAAGTTCCCAGATCCGAATGAGAAGTCGCAGGCAGCCGATGGATCCGTTGTAGGTGACGGGAATGGTCCCGAACTTGCTGCTCAGCGAGAACTTCCTGAGCTTACCCTTAGTCTCGTTGCGCCTACCATGAGTGTTTCCCCTCGGGTGAAGGAGGGGAAGAAAGAAGAGTTTGGTGTGGACATCTCTTTTGGATTGCCGAAATCCCCTCTAGGACTGCGTAGCAGCAAGGCGTTCTCATCTTCCACGGGTCAGCTGGCTGCTAGTCTTACTCGTGGCGTTGAAATTCTTGAGAATCAGCGTCGACAGTCTAGAAGGTATAATATGAAAACTTGGTATGGGTTAGTAGAGATTTACTGTATAATTAGAAGCTTCGAGACCATCCAAATGTTAGCATATCAAGGGACAAGGGTTTTGCTTGGTTTGGATTCAAGTTTTAACGAAAGCCAGGTGATTTAGGACGTAAGAAGTACTAACGGTGAATATCACAGGTTTTCGGGAGCGCGGTTTTCTTTTCAAAATGGTGAATCTCCAAGTTCACCGAAGTGTGAATCACCTGTGCTTGCAAGAGTTAACAGTATCGGCATCAATCCCTTATCTCAAGGCACTAGAGATGTCGTATTTGCTTCTGAGAAAGAAAATACCTTCATTACAACTAATGGAATAAAACTAGGGTCCCCTTCTCCAGGGGAACTTTCTCCATTACCTGAAATTACTCAGGAGGACTGGAAGCTTGTGCCCTCTACTCCACCTGCTCAAATGAACAATGCCCAGGTAATATTTTTCTTCTGTTGGCAAATTGAAATCACTGAAAGCTGTTGTCGGTTGCCAGAGCTCTTTAAATGACTTCAGAATTCTGAGGATAGTTTGGATAACGTCTCGATTGGTTAGTGTGCACTGTAGAAATGTCAGCTCAAATGTCTGACCACGAACATTAGTAATTGTCTAGTTGAATTTTGACTGCTTATGCAATGAAAATCGTACAAAGTTTCTAAGATCTTGTTGACGATGTAATAATGTCACGTGAAATGTGGTTGTATTTTTGTATGTAGGACGTGAGCGCGCTTTTGGCAGGGGCTCTAAGAAGAGAAAAGATTGCCGAGGAGACCATTGCGCAACAAGCTGCGGATTTGGAGCAACTCACTCGCCTGGTACAATACTATGTTTTTGACATTTTTGTGAATGATCGTACAATTGTCTCTATGCTCAAATTTTGGAACCTTCTGATTCTTTTTGTCAGGAACTCAAGTTTACGTGTCAACTGATCCTCAAAGTTGTTTTCTACTGAAAAAGAAGCTGTTAAAAACTGTCACTGGTTCTCGTACCTCACGTTTCTTGACATTAGAACAATGATGTGCAGTTCGTATACAAAAAAATGATCTGTCTCATAATCGAGTGTGGGATTCGCAGGTGCGACAATACAAGCAGGAGAGGGAGTATAATGCTGTCATACAGCAAAGCCGAGAAGAGAAGATTGTTCGGATGGAGTCCTTAATGGATGGTATTCTGCCTTCAAAAGATTACTGCACTGATGAGTTGGCAGCATTGCAGCTTGAGAACAAGGTGCGAGGCATCTACAGTTACCATTTGCTTTTGAAAGCATTCAGGAACTGATGTGAACCAGAAGTTAATCGCTGATTTATATTATGTTAGTACACCTTCTCCTTCACAAGTCCTAGTCACTCGTGTCACTAAGAGAATCGCATGGGTTTTACTTTTTGAAACTTCCAGATGTTACAAGAGAAGTTTATCCACCATCCGGAGCTGGCTGAAGCTAAAGCTGAACAAGAACTGCTCCGTCATGAGCTTAATCGATACAAGGCTTTATGTGATCTTGAAGCGAGTGAAAAACTTCAACAAGAGATCGTGCAGCTACGTAACCAGGTCCTACTCTACTTGGAAAATGGAACCCCTGGCTCTATGAAGCAACGGCGCCTGTCTCTCACCCCGACTAAGGGAATCCAACCTTCTTATAGCCCGATCAAGCTCATGTCGTTAACAGCCGTACCAGAAGCAATGCCTTCATGTGAGTCTGCGTCCTCTTCCAGGCAACTTGATGATGAGCCTCCAGCGTCAACCACAGAGGGACGTGCTGCCGAATTCTTGGAGCAAGAGCGCGCGGAATGGGACGAGAGAGAAAAAGAATTAGTTGCGATGGTTCAAGGACTGAGGGAAGAATGTGACCATTATATGATGTTGGCAGAAAAAAGGCGCAAGGAGCTCGAGGGCGAAAAGAGGTGAGTTTTCATTTGCTATACCTTTCAGCTAGAACAGATTCGTGGTTTATACTCCATATTCAAATGAGCAATGATTTGGGGGTGATTAAGACATGCTATTTATGGAGAATGTTCTCTAGCGCTTGTTTCCGACGTTCATTTTCGTCAACAAACAGCCAGGGATGCATTTGGTGTTGTCCGTGGTGGATGCTATATGCCTGAATAACGCCAAAGCCGCCTTTTCTGTTGAACTTTGCTGCTTGACTTTGCTTAGTATGTGTTCAATTCCCCTGTCCAGGTGTACACAGGAGATGCATGAAGCGCTTCAGATGGCTATGACAGGCCATGCTCGTATATTGGATCAGTACGCTGAGTTACAGGAGAAACACATTCTTCTTTTATCTAATATGCGTGAAATCCGCCATGGTGTAATCGAATACAAGAAAGAAGCAAAGAATTCTGGTATGAACTGCGTTGAGGATCACTGGTTCGATGTCCAAGCTACTCAGATTACATACTTCAAAGTTGAGCAGGAGCGCTTCAAAGAGCAAATTAGACAACTGCAATCTCAGCTTGATGATACTGCCGATGCTGTACAAGCTGCTGGGGAGCTTGTGGTACGATTAAAAGAGTCCGAACGAGCCGCTACCTTGGCCAAGGTGAGTGGTTCAGAAATGTTGACTGTCTTAGTCTACAGTAACGGCCCCATATATGTTGGACTACGTACCGTTCATTTTTGTATTCTAGAGAATTCGTCCATCTTACCTTTTCGGTAGGCAACTTCTGATTTTTGGTAATGTAGTTGTTCTTGAAAATATCCTAATTATTTGATGATTTTGTGTTTCTCTTAACATTGCAGCACACGGCAGCAGTAGCAGAGGAAGAAGCAGATGAGTTGCGTCGGGAGTTGAAAAAGTCCAACAGGAGGCACTTCAAGGAGATTGCATCCCTGCAGCAGCGATTACACCAGTCCTCATCAAGAGATTTAGCTCATTTGGGAGACGATGGTGACAACGTCCAAGCTGAGACCGCTATTATACCTCATGTCATGAAACAGGATCCTGGAGTTTCTGAAAGCTTGAGTGGTGACACGACTATCTCAGAGTTTAGTGATGATGGTACTTGTGTTTATGAAAACTGGGATGTTGGCGCTACGAATCATCGAAGCGACGCGCATGATAGTGCATTTGAAGACCATGACCATGATATCGTGAGGGAGAGCGTAAGGTTTAGCAGAGATCAATATCAGAACCTGAAAAATCTAGAAATAAATTTTGAAGATGACGATGGATTTTTTTGCGAGCAATGTGGTCAACAAACTACAAACTCAATGCGAGTTTGCGACTCCTGTATCTGATCGGATTCGACAATCGACAGCTTATAGATCTGATTATTGCCTTCTATCAAAACTCTATCAAAGCAGCTTTTCAAGGGAGAACAAGAACAGCTCCAATTTCTCAGTAATCTACCTGTTTTATCCTGCCATCACGAACAGGTGACTGAGGTCATTGGTGAGGAATCCATTGAATCACATTTTTCCAGGTTAGTGAATTGTTTGTTACCTTGGTGTCTTGATTAGTGAAGCCATGCGACTGAGAACTCCAACATCCCACCTGCGAAAACCGTGTCGCCAAAACCTGCTTATTGACACAGGAAAACTTGACACAATTTGTACAACAAGCTAAACTTTGGTTTCTCACTTGTAGTGAGGGTAATAATATAGTTTTCCAAACGACTGCGAGAATCGTAGGGGAGGGCGAATGCTGCGGCATCTATTTGCCATTTTGTAGCTGTAACTTCTCAGCATGTCTGATGGTTTACCTTAGAAGAAAGTGAATTAGGGTCTCGACACAGACCTGGATCAGCATTCCAGCTGATCAAGTTAAGTTTTGTGTCCTAATCTGTTCTTTTAAATTCTAGAGTTCGATTGTTCTGGTTTTGTCACATTGAGTAAACTTTCCTTAGTTCCTCTTGTGGCAGTTATTGTGGTTTTCATCAGAGGGGTAGAGAGAATTGCTGACCGAAAGCGCCCGTGTAAAGTAAATTTCATTAGTGGAGAGTAGAAATAGCTGACTTTGTTAATATGAGGTCGAATTTAAGATCTTTGTCTCTCTAATTTATTCAGCACTAGCGATTGTACTGGATACCAAATTTGCATAACATCTCCCTATAATGTCTTGTGACATTCTTTTTTCTGTTTTCAGCGACAGTTGCTAGATGAGTAAATGTTAGATCGTTCATCACACTCTTTGTTGACATGTTGATGTTCAAGATCACGTATAGATTGTCGTTGCTCTTGCACCAAACAATTGATCTTGGTGTTCCCAGCCTTCAAATGAAGGCCGCTGTGTTAAATGTACAAGTGGACACTGTCTACAACCTGAGGTTATACGATTTCCATCTCTCAAACCTGAGGATATACAAGTTTGCACCTTCTATCCGTTTTACAATGGCAGCCAGGAAAAAATAACAAACCACTGCATCAACATTTATCTGAACACGCCCGAATATTATGTTTGACGATGGTCATTATGGGAAGTCGAGATTGACATCGTTTGACCTATGAACTGTTGAGAAAGTGGTGATCTTGTGCCACAACTGGTCCAGGGAGTAAAGACACTCAGAAACGAGGTTGGCTTTTATTTTGCATCGGGTTGACGACTTTGGTAGACTCCAAACAGAATGCGACAGGAAAATGAACTTCTTATTGGAGACTTTCCCTTGTCATTCGGCTGATTACAACCAATTATCGGCCTACCCTGTTCCTTGTACCCGTGAGCGTTCATGTCCATGTTTGTGGAGGCAAAACAGAAATTCTGGAAATGTGTGCACAGACCACCATTGCCCATTCGGAGCATCCGTCAACCCAACATCCACGAGGACTGCCAACTTTCCACTTTCAGCCATGGCGAACACCAATGTTGACCCCCTATGGGAATCAAACAATCATTGAGCCGTGGTAAGAGCCACTGCTGAACATTTGATTAGGATTTGGTTAGAGTTTGTTTAGGATTTGACTATGATTTATTTAGAATCTGATTAGGATTTATTTAGGATTTGACTAGGATTTGGTTAAGGTTTGATTAAAATTTGACTAGAGTATGGTTAAGGTTTGTTTAGAGTTTGATAAGGATTTGGTTAAGGTTTGTCTAGGATTTGATTAGGATTTAATTAAGATTCGTTAGAATTTTAATAGAATTTAATTAAGATTTCTATTTTAATATTTTATTAAGATTTCTATTTTAGAATATTTTTGAATTCTATATTATTTCTTTATGATTTCTTTAAAGATTTTTTAAGAATACTTTGTATTTTTTACATAATTCTTTTGAAATTTTGATTGAATTTGATTTGATGTTTGATTATATTTGCTAATCTTTAATTATAATTTATTAGGACTTATTGTTGAAATTTTCCTTTTATCTTCTAGAGCTAGGTATTCAATGCTTTCTCAAGCCAAATACCACGTAATATTATAGTGCCACATAGTTAGCTTATTTCATAAGCTACTATATGGATTTAACTTGTTCTACAAGCTACCAACACGTGGTTAATTTATTGGCCAAGTTTCTAATCTACAAACACATCTAAAATAAAATTACATCTACAAAGCTTCTAAGAAGCTTCTCTAGAAGACTTTATGAAATTAATCTATATTTACCTACTTCCATCTAATCATATAAGTAACTATTGGGATAAATGTATATGTCCATGATACTTTATTCTTTTAAAAAGTCAATTCTTTTCATGGCACATAATGAAGATAATCCTTAGAAGAGTATTTTGATTCTAACTACAATCCTAGGCTACTTACAATGCTTTGTGGCACATTCAAATTAAGTATTTTAAGTCTCATTTATTCACTAACAAAATGGTGCATTTGTTATCTTTCAAATTTATTATTTGAATACTAATCTACATGTTTTCTTTTGTTGAAGAATTCTCATATCTATCTCCTTAGCTAGTGATGCTCACTAGTAACAATATGGAATTTCAAACATGGCCTTTTTGGATGATATTTTACCAATGATGCAAGCTTGAAGTATCCTGTGATATTTTGAAATATCCCTTCATACTTCACTAAATCATCCATTTTTTTTCGTGAGATAGGTGATTTTGAAATTGAAATATTAAAAGAAGGGTGAATCAAATATCAAAAACTATGTTGCTTGCCTCAGCTCTCTTCCCTCTTTGACTCCATACCAAAGGATAATAAAGTTTGAATCAAAGAATAATATCAAAAGATGATAAAGTTTGAATGGTAATATTTTGGATTTGATATTTATAGTGATTTTGGAAATATCAATTGTTCAATCCCAATTATTAGATTTTACAAAAGTGTCATGTTTGAAACCCCCTAATATTGTCATTTTATACATATTGGATCTTAAGAAAGAAATGTGATATAAAATACACATTTTTCACATGTGCATAAATTTAGTAGAAGTTGTTCTATTTGTTTGTTGTTTTTAGGGTACGATTACACTTAAAGAGGGTAATGGTTGAAGCTGGACATATTGTGCTCAGAAATTTGATCTCTCCCATGATTTGGAGGTAATTCCAAAAACTATTGTGGTTTTCTTTGATAAGTCTTTGTTTGAACATATTTATAGAATGCAAAGGAGGTGAACATTTACCCTCTTTTCAAGTTTTATTGATTTATATCAATAAAGGACTTCTTTATTTGGACATCTGTGAATGCCCTCTTTTCATGATTGTGGACTTTATTTTTCTCTACTTTATTTTAGTTTTTAGTTTTTATTTTTTTGTTTTTTTACTTTTTAAAAAAAAGAAAAATAAAACTAAACAGAACTATGTTGTTATAATGTCGTAGTTACAAATGACAAATGAGAAGTATTCATGTATTACTTTGTTGGGAAACATGCTCCAATATAATTTTAGTTAAATTTATATTATTTAACATACTCAAATTCTGAATTGAAACGTGACAGAAGTAGAATACATAAAAAGGAATGTTTCTAATAGGAATTTAAGTGAACTGAATATGTGTACGACTTCTTGTCAAATCCCAGAGATTTGAATTGACAATTCTTCTACTGTACATTTATATTGAGTAGTCTATGATTCATCTTGTATAGATCAATTTTTATTATAAAAAATTGCTAGTGCAATTAGTAGTTCATGATCATAAATAATTTACAGTTACATTTCTTGATTGAAAAAAAAAAGAAAAAAATGATGAGTAAAACTTTTATTTTCTATGAAAGTTTTAGTTTAGAATCTTGTTTTGTGCTTGTAAGATTTGATGTTAAATGAGCATTTCATGACCTCCCATATAACTTGAAGACAAAATCGGAAGATATTTTTATCTTCTAATAGAGAGTTTCTCTTTAACTACTTTAGCCACAAATGATGAACTTATCTGAAAGTAGTTTTTCATATTCAAATATATGTTTAAAACCATAAGTATTCAACTATATACATGAGTAAATAAATAAATATAGGAAAAACATAAATTTTCTTTACAACAATATTAGAGTTGACTTAACTGCAGAAATGTCAGCACACAGTAATAAAATGTTGAGTCTTGGTAAATAAATAAATAAAATAAAATCTTTTTTTTAAAAAAAAAAAAACCCTTCATTTCCACTTTTTTCAATATATGTGTGATGTTGTATTTTTTTGAATTTTATCCTCAAAGAATTCTATTTCTATGATTTTAATTTATTTTATTTTATTTGACAATATTTTTCACATGACACAATATCATCATGCGCCATCCTCAAGCACCTTTTGTAGTTAAAAAATATAAATATTTATTACATAAATTCATTTAATTTTTGATTCACTCAATGTATTATGTATAATGAAAATAAAAATAAATAAAATTATAATATTTAAGAATATATAAATATATATATATTTCTAAAATGAAAGATTGTTAAACATACTTAATGAATCAAATTCTTACATCTTACAGTGCTTCTCACATGACTTGAAACCTATAGTAGACATATTTTGTATTTTACACACTTTCTGCAAAATAAATACTATATTAATAATTTAGACAACATGAAATGGTACAAATCATTCGTATGAACAATTATTTTGAATCAAATAACATTTTTTTAATTTCAAAGAAAAGGTCACCAATTTGATTTGATAAAGAAGCATGATGTTTGGTTTTCAACTTTAATACCTTCTGTTATAAAGCTCCTTACAATTTGAACATGGAGCTTCAAGCTTTTCTCATACACAATGGGTGCAAGTCTAAATTTATTTTTAATAATTTTGGCCCTTATAACAACATCCATATTGACAAGTGCAGCCCTTATATACAAGTTTTGCTAAAGAATTAATACTAAAATCTTATCTTGCAACACCATTATATTACTACATTTGAAGGTTCTTTTCCATTCTTAAATTGTTGAAGGCAAACTCACTTGAAAAATCTAAAATTAACAATTACAATGTGTTGAACTTTACATAGATGCTATTCATGATTTGGAATGTTTCTTTTAATGTCTATTTACAACATTAATCGATTTTTCCAACATTTAGTGATATCAATATCATATTGAATACCTTTTTCTATACTCTTCAAAAATGTTAATTTTTTTTTTCTTGTTGACCCATTTATTTCTTCATTGCAATACATTTTGTTCATTGCATGTGGCTCTTTTACCCATTTTTTTCGCTGTCTGTAAGTATTTATTTCTGTATGTAGATATGGTTTTATTATATCAACATTTTTTTCACAAAGCTCAAAATTACTTACTAAATCACTACATTTTTTATCCCATGGTGGTTTTGTATATAGCTTTTGATGCAGTATATTTTTCCTTGTATTACAAAACAATTCTTTGACTAATTGTTCTCTCAAAGGTGGTTTTAATTGTGAAGGTGTTAATGCACTAGAAACAAATTTGGAACCATCTTTTAGACGCTCTTTATTGAAACAGTTTGGTACTCCTTTATACATTAATTTTGGCTTCAAAAAACTTTGTAGAATATCTGAACTTGTTTGTAAATCCATTGTCAACCCATCAGATGTAGAAGGTTTACAATTATTTTTTTCTTCATCTATTTTATTCTCTGTGTCAAATGAAGGCCATATTCTGCTACTTTCATGAGACTTTGTTGAGGTGTCTACTATTTTATTTTTCAGTGGTGAGCTAATTATTGGGAATTGTATTTCATTGCTGCAGTTTGTAACAAACTTTTCCTTGAGCTTTTGAAAATCAATGTTTCTTTTCCTCGTATGATTCTTAGTATTATTTCTCGTTATTCTTTTTAGTTTGAACCGAGAATATCCTTTCAAATTAGAGATTCTGGTAGACCTCTTCATTTTCTTTTGTAACTGTGCACAAAACATATTGTACGTGAGCAGTATACTCTAGACTGTGTTTTTGTATTTAGAAATCCATAAAAATATTAAATGATCAATAATAGCAATAAATTAAATATACATATATATATATATATATATATATATGATATCAAGATCAAAGTTTTGAAAATTAATTTAAAATGTTGGTACCAACTTTATGTAGCCAAATATTTGAGGATATTTCTTGAATTGTCAAACTTTCTATATCATTACTATTTTTTGCATTATGTAATTCATACAAACTTCCATTTTTAATTAAACCACATGTTTTGATGTGTTCTTTAAGAATGTTGGTATGAATCTCTCTTTGAGAATTGATTTTATTGTCCATCAGTTTTTCAAAATTTTGATTCAAAACATCAACTTCTTTGAATTTTGAAAAAGCAACGTCTTGATTTGATTCTTTGTTTTGAAAAGTTTCATATTCTAAATGAAATGAATTAAATTTTCTACATTTATTTATATGCATATTTTCTTTTAAACATTCATGTTCATTTTTTATGGTTTTAAAAATGTTTTTCTGCAAATATGCATGTTGGTTGTTACCACACAAGTTAATTCTTCTATTTAAAGATTTTAATAAATCTTTTTCACAAATCTCATATATTTTAGAGAGTTTTACATCAACAAACTCCAGAATTTTGGAAATTAAATCACTGTAACAATTAATTTTATCTTTGACCAACCAAGTCACTGTTTCACCTTCACATTTAATTGTGTTTTTTGACTTCACACCGAATTGGTAGGATTTTTCATCATACAAAGAATCCATGTTTAAATTATTCTGCTTCTTAAAAATTATTTGATTAGAATAGCCATTCTGTGTAACCACATTTTGGGGATTTAAGAACCTCTCTGTAAAATGATCACCTAAAATATGTACTCCCTGGATACAGTTTTCAACCACGTTTAATTTAAATTTTAGATATAGACTAGATTATGTTTTTTTAGAAAATCTAACTAAATCAATAGTTTTATTTTTTTTTAATACTTTTGAATTTATTAGAATTTCGGTTGAAGCATTTACTTTCATACAAATATTGAGTATCAATCATTATGAACAATTTATTTAGATTTTTTTTAAGAAAATCATGAAAAAAAATATATAGAATATTGCTAATGCCATTAAAATTTTTGCTATTGCCACCACAACCCCCCATCCACCATATGCTACTTTTGTTTGATATCTTTCAAACCATAAGATCTTTTAGTTAAATATTTTTTTAACCATTTGATTGAACTATTTTTTAGATTAGATTAAAAAACACTAAAAAAAAAATGTCAAATGGATGGTGGGCTGTGATGAAAAATGCAAAAATTATGGTGGCATGAGAAATATCCAATATATATATTTATATATTTAGCATAATTTTTTTAGCTTTTTTAAAAATATGAATATATTCTTTTGTAATATTTATACTATTAATATTTATGCTATATAAATATATAGATTTTTTAAAAATAAATTTGATGAACATTATCTATCTTATTGATGTTTATATGTGTATGTTTGTATATATATATATATATATATATATGTGTGTGTGTGTGGGTGTATATGTAGATATATATATATATATATATATTAAAGAGAGAGTCTTTGTTACAGCCTTTACATATGAGAGATAGTTTTTTTCAGGATCTTTGTTAAACATCTGAATGGATCTTAAACACGTTTTATTGTCCTGATTATAATTAAAATTATGAGATTCTATGTTTGCCTCATATACCAATCCTACATACACTTTAAAGTTTTCATGGTCAATTTGTGTATTCTGTGTATTCTGTGATGAATTTTAGAATTGTGGTATTAAAGCTTTAAGTATACTCAAAAAGTAAATGATACTAACCATTTGCTTGTTTCAAATCAGATAGCTTTGATGGTCCACACTTATATATATATATATATATATATATATATATTACTTCTAAGTAAATCACACTATTATGCAAAGAAAAGACCTTCTAGTAAGAATGGTTCTAAATCTACATCAATGCAACAAAAGAAAGTAAATAAATAAAACTTTTAACTTTTAAAATTATTTCAGTGTTTTAAGATTATGGAAATTTTTCCTTGAAGAAATCTAAAATGCAACAATCTTAGTTAAATATCAAGAACTTTGAATAACTCATGGTTAGTATTTGAAGAAGATTTACCCATTGATTCCAACTTAGATGTGCTTCGTACATGGAACATGTAGAAAATTCGACAATCTCTCAACCAAGGAAACATTGGCAAATTTTCGCTTTTAAAATTTTCAATTTTATTTAATTTTAAATTTCTCTGTTTGGAAAATAAACAAGTTGGAAAGTAATTTGTGATATTTTTGTAATATATAAAATGCATTGTGTTAAAGACCATCAACTCAAGGTTGTTTTTTAAAATTAAGATTTTAGAATAAGATTGTTTTGAAATTTTATTCAAATTTTGAGTTACATATTGAGTGTGGAATTCTTCACATTCATTTTTTCTATAATTTTGATAAAGATTTTTTCTATAGCTTGTCGAATTGATTATTTTATTATCCAATGATTTATTTATATTATAAAATACTACATAACTTATTGTTCCATTATAATATGAGCTGAATATTTTTTTGTTAGCTATGATTAATTTTAGAAAATCTTTGCCTTTTCCATAACTTGCACAACATAATACATCGTCTTTATTTACACATTTTTCTTTTAAATTCAAACCACCCAAATTTCTGGATTTTATCTCTTCCAAATCAACAGTTATTTTCTTTTTATCAATAGAATTATTTATTTTATCAGCATTGCAACACACCATATTCATTAACTTTGACGTCTTATTTTTTAGAAGTTTAACAATTTTTGTAGTGGCATTCAAAAGTGCAGTTGTTTTTATTGATTTTTTTCCGTGAACAGTCTTGTTATCATTCTTACATATTTTACTAATTCTTTTATGGAACTTTGAAGTTCTTTGTTGAAACCAATCTTTTGATGATAAATTTTTATTTGTTTCATTTTTACTATGTAAAATATTTGAAGCTTCACAAGTTTTTAAGTTTTTAATTTTGATTTTAATTATAGTATTCTCATCATCACAACTTATTCTGGTTGGATTTTTTTCACTAGAACAAAATTTTCTTAGTGTTTGAGAAAAACATGTTTTCAACTTATTTTTGTTATTATCACCTTTACTCTCATATTGATTAGTGACATGCATTTCTCTCCATGAAATGCTACCAAGATCACTTTGTTCTTTACTTGGAGATGAGAAAATTATGTCATTTTTATTTAATCTTGGAACCAAAAAAATTACATCACTGGTACTATTAATTAAAATATATGTTTTAAGATTAGTTTTTTTGCCATAGAATTCCTTTGGATTAGGTTTTATTGTTAGGTCTAAATATGATTCTTTGTCAGATTGTTTCATACTTGGTTCTCTCAATTCATTGGAAAATTCATGGAAAAATGACAAACTACTAGAAGATCCTATACATGAAGTATCAACTTCCACACTTGCAACATTAGGAATCATCATAGTTACTGGTTAAGATTCAATTGAATTTGATTCAATTTGAATTGAAATTTCACATTGATCAATCAGCCTTTAAATCATCCTTATATTTAAGAATACAAAATCTTTTAGGGAGATTTTTAGAGACGAATTTCATGCCTTCAATTTTCAGAAGTTAAAGTAAAATCTGGGTTGATTTTAAATTCCATTAAGCTTTTGCTACGATTTTTTTTTTCCAATATTAAAAATAAAAATATTTTAACTGCGTCATTTTAAAAATAAGACCTTGCTTAAAAATGTCCACAAACGGAAGGATTTTTCTCATAGAAAGAAATCTTAAAATAATTGACAGATGAATAGGTTTAGGCTTATAGTATTAATATATGTATCTGTGCATTAACCTAAAATAGTAAAATAGGATGTAAACCCTCAGAATATACAACACAACTCTTTTCACCCTTTCTCTTATTTCAGAATTGTGACAAAAAGATACAATAACATATCATTGACAAGTTGGGATAGAGTACTTAGAGGAGACTCTCATATGATATTGATAGAGATTCTTTTATTCTTTTAGTTTATTTTTTGCTCTTCTTGGTAAAACTGCTATTGGAAAAGTCTTCAGCAACCAACTAGTCTTTATTATTCTAAGATAGCATCCAAATTTTCATAAATTCTTTTAGATGACACTGCTTCTTTATTCTAGTATAGATTCTTAATGCATGAACCAATTTTCATATTACTAAATGAATGGAACTGAGATAAAACGTCCACATTGAGCATCCTTTTACTTAATATTCATGATGAATTTATCGAACTTCAATGGAGCTGCCAACTTCCGATTAAGTGTTGCTGTGGAAACCTCGAAAGTTAATATCATGTTTCGCTACGGATTTATTTGTTGAGTGACGAAGAGGTTGTGCCAAGCCTGTAACATATAACAAGAGGCTGAACCACAAGCTGCATCAACTTCCTGTCATTGCAACATCAAAGCAACACTTCTATCAGCTTGCATTTACAATTTACTTTTCTCTAAGCTTTTGATTAAGTAGTTCCATAAAATTACCATAGTGCTGTGCATCCGAATCCTGAGATTCTGCGGCGGAGCACAAGATTTTAGCAAATCGTTCAAAGCATGGTACCTGATGCACACAACGTGCATTCATATGACTTGACACCTCAAGGATTCGTGGAAAAGTCCTCTCTGCCAGATACATCCCCCATGAACGGGAGAAGATTCAGTTGAAGTTTCAATGACAGTACATCCGGATACTGTACTCATGCAGACGATCTGGTTGCTTTAGCTCTCGAAAGACAGCCAGCATGAAGCACAGCGATTACAAAGGTTGTTTTTCTTGCAATTGTGTCCTACATTGTACTTCCTGTCTCGAGCTGTTACCAATCTTGCAAGTAACCATCTACACGTTCTAGCGTAAATTTGTTAAGGGAAAGAATTATTTCAGCAGTCGGGGGCAGTCGCATGGGTCATGTTATTGCTCTGCATGTTAGGGCCAAACCAAAGCAACTCATATTGTGAAAGTCCAGCTCTTTAATGCCATGTAAACAGAACCTCCATCAAAAACCAACGCGTGAGGTTCCTTCCACCCCTGTGTCCACGTTATTAACAGCTTCCTGTCTCGAGTTGCGGATCCTTGAAACTCCTTAAATTCAAAGATATTTAACCAGACTTCTTCTCTCCAAATCCTTCGTCTGCTAAATCTCGAATCACATGTTATCTTAATTCTGTTCCTTGCTCAGGCCCACCACAGACTACGTGATAGGGAAACGCTACTAAAAGATTTCGCTAGGTCAGCCTTAACACATTATCTTGTCAACATTAATAATCTCTCGCTCACGACTAAGAGCAGAAACCTCCAACGAGAACAAACCTCTACCTCAATCTCCATACACCTCGTTCCATTTCACATATTTCCTCCAAACAACGGGCGTCCATGTCCACTGAGAAAACAAACTAATAAGAACAAAACGCAACAGGGACTCATCTCGACGCTGCGGTCACGGGTTTCTTCGCTGCTGTTCGATGGCCCCGTTCTCATCGCAGCCATTTCTGAGACTAAAATGCGACGAAAATGTTGACGGGAGAGTGAGAAGCGGCCGTGAGAAGAAGGATCCATGGATCGATGCGAGGGTTTCAGATAATGGCTTCTTCTTCTTCATTGAACGGGCAGCAAACAAACAAACAGGCAAATTAACAAACAATCAGGGTGAAATGTATAGTGCAACGCTCTCAACCCCCCAAGGCCTGTTGCAATCTCTCTTCGAACTTCTTCTTCTTCTGTGCCACCCATACCCGTGCCCATTCCTATGCCCGTGCCATAAAAATATGGCTACAATGCCATGCTTTAAATGAGATCCTATAATTTGAATGAGATTCCATGAATTGAATGAGAGCCACCTGATTGGCCCTCCAGGGGCTGGGCAAACTTTAGGATGTGGATAACTGGAGGTGACAATTCTGGCTGGGAACCAAACTCTAGAATATTCACAATTCCGGAGTTCACATCCTTGTGTGTGTGCGCTCAAAACAATTTAAAATAACACATATTTGTATATATATATATATATATATATTCTATTTTTTTTGAAAAATTAATTTAGAACCTTTGAGTTCTAAATCGATTTTCTAAAATTCGAAAAGACTTATATTCTAAGGTTCTAAATCGATTTGTAGAATAAAGTTTTCTTTTTCCTTTTTTTCTTTTTTTGCACAAATGTAGGTGCCAAGTTTTGTGACATCATTATAAGAGCTTAAAATTTAGCTTTTAGGTTATGAAATGGCAATGTATATAAAAAAAATATATTATCAAGAAACTCAATTAGATGGATAGCACAATTTTTTTTTATTATTATTAATTAAAACCAAGTTTGCATGAAGAAGTTCTGCCTCTTTGCTAAAAAAACGTTTTTTAAAAATTACAATCAATCTATTGTTGTATATCTTAGTGGTAGATAAAATTGCATAATTTATGATATATTCTTAATTGTTTGTATGGTCAACAACATTACTATAAATATATTGGTTTTTTATTTAATATTTCTATTAAAAATATGAATTATGTTTTTACCTTCATCAACATAAATAGCCTTTATTCTTTCCCCAACATAAAACTAACATTGTACAAAGTCTCTAGTTTTATTTCCTCCAATGTTATTAGCTTAAACCAATATTACATTAATTGTGGAGTGCATTTTTTGTATACATGGTTATAAATAAGTAAACTTTAAGCTTACATCAATAATTTGAATTCTTATTTTTAGATAAAAATTGGACAATATTTGGCAAAAGGTTCTACCTAATACAAATACTTTTCTACTAAGCAACTTATTGTTATTTCACATATCATATAATAATTTAGCTACAACCTTAAAAGTATCATTATTATTAGTGCTTCATTCAAAATAAATATCTTAAACTTTTTAAATAATCTTTTAATTTGGACTAAATAATAATGTAGGAATTTGCTTTATTACTTAAATCTATTTCTCACTTCGAAGTAATTAGATTGCAATGAAAAAAGAAACAATATCTGTAGAAATTTGTATCTTCTTCATAAAATTGTCAAAGACATAAATCAAGACATAATTGTTTTTTTAAATACAATTTGTGTTGTTGAAAATAGACAAATAAGATATACATATAAAATAGAAAGTAACTAGAATGTGAGTTAATCACAAAGAACCTAGAACCGAGAGAGTCATGTTACGGACACTCTAAAACTTCGAGCAATTGTAAAGTCCATCAAAAAGTATTGGACAGACAGACGATGAGTTGCACTGGAGATTGACAAACAACCATATTTGAACACTGCTCACATCCATCGCACTACAAAAGAACTACAACGCCGAATTAGGGCAAAGGTTCCCGTAGAGCAAATATCACGACTACACTACAAATCACATGCACATGATTTAACAAGGAAATATATGGATATGAGAGCAAAAAACCCATCTGAGTATGTGTAGTTTCTAAAACATTATGTCTGCCCAAGGCGCTTGTGCTGCATACATTCGCTAGAAATGAGCAGGTGCCTGTAAAAGCTGTCTGGGCGCCCATCGCTATGTCTGGATTCCTTGGCACGGTCGACCGTATCCTGGGAGTTTCCCCTCATCAAAATCGCATCGGATATATATATGCACTAGTGCATAGCTCCTAGGTTGTGGTGCTTACTCTATAGCTGCCGAAGATGGGATTAGATGGTTTACTGTCTGTTTACTATATACAAGGTGCTAGCAAGTCGCTAACTTGTCTAAGGAATGACTATGATACAAACTTCAACTAGAGCAATTACACTTAATGAAAGTCACAGGAAAAGCACGGCAAAAGGTTGCAGTCTACTTTTTATAGTTGTCTTGGATAGAGTATTCGACTTTTACCCACCAGGCGACGTCTTTGAGATACATATGCTCCCTGAAGTTAGAATCTGTTTCTTCCTCGCAAGTACTGGCTGGGTCCATTTAGTGATCAATGTGAGTAAAGAATTGGAATAAGGACAGAAAGAATGAAGTTACAGCCTGCCTTCTTATAAAGCACGTTGTTGAAGAATCCTGATACAGTGGTAGTGATTATAGGCCAGAACGCCCAAGCCACCACGAAATGACTTGCAGCCTGAGCAACTGGAAAGACTGCCATTGTTATGGCAGCAGTCGTCACCGAAACTGCAATCATGCTCGGCGAAATCGTCATGCGGCAATTGGATACTCGACATCTCCATTAAGGTTTCTACAAGCGTTATAATCGGAGTTGATTTCTGAAAGCAAACATAAACAGAATGAAGTGAGTTCGGAAACTCCCCTGCCTATCGTGACTTAAAGCTAGTTCAATTAAGTTCACCATAGCTTCACGAGTAACGAACACAACTGACACGGTTTACGTCCAACTGTCCGGGTTAATTGGAATCTATGAACGAGGTCAATCTTTGCAGTATCACTTGATTATGAATAAGCATTTCCGTATCATCGCTTACAGTATCACATGAACCTTGGAGGATCCAACATCACAGTGCAGATCCAGGTGGTTAGCGCGACTTAAGTCAATTTGCAATACCAAAGCGTAGATAGAGCTGAAAGTTACCTGGCGCAATTTCCGTAGCCAAGTTTGCAGCTCGCTCTGACTCCTTCAATCGTACAACTAGCTCCCCAGCAGCTTGCACAGCATCAGCAGTGTCATCAAGCTGAGCTTGCAGTTCCCTAATGTGCTCTTTCAAACGCTCTTGCTCAACTTTATAGTATGCAATCTGTGAGGCTTGAATACTGAACCATTGTTCCTCAACACAGATCAATCCGGAACTCTTCCCCTCCTTCTTATATTCAACAACACTGTCACGAATCTTGCGGATGTTAGCCAAAAGGAGAATATGCTTCTCCTGTAGCTCAGCATACTGATCCAAAATGCGAGCGTGACCTGTTATAGCCATTTGAAGAGCTTCGTGCATCTCCTGGGTACACCTGCACGGAATTGAAAACCTTTTCATGTAAGAAAACACATGACACTACAGGCATATTAGACAGAACATAAACCACGACGCAATTCAGACATTAAGCCAACACGGCGTTTTCACACGCCACGAGACTGCGGTTGTACATCGCCGATGAAGAACATCAGCAACCAGTCCAAGCGAACACCCAACACGCATGATGCGTCTTAACCAGCTTCAACCCATCCCTCATTCCAAGCTGAGTACAAAGCACGTATCCGATCTAGGTGGACACTGCCTGTACATAAAAAGAACACAACCCACCTCTTTTCGCCTTCAAGCTCCTTGCGCCTCTTCTCTGCCAACATCATGTGATGGTCACATTCTTCTCTTAGTCCTTGAACCATCGTAACCAGTTCTATCTCTCTCTCGTCCCATTTCCGCCGCTCTTGCTCCAAAATATCAGCAACATGTTCCTCCGCGATTGACGCTGGAGGTTGATCATCTACGTGCATGGACAATGCAGATTCACATGAAGGCATTGTCTCAGGCACAGCTGTTAAAGACATGGCCTTAACTGGGCTATAAGAAAGTCGAGCGCCATGCGTTGACGTCAGAGAAGGATGACGTTGCTTCATAGAGCCAGGAGCTCCGTGCTCAATATAATGATGCACCTGGTTCCTTAGCTGCAAAATGTCTTGTTGAAGATTTTCACGCTCATCAAGGTCACATAAAACTTTGCAACGATGAAGCTCATGCCTAAGCAGATCTTGTTCAGCTTTAGCTGCAGCCAGCTCCGGGTGGTGGATAAACTTCTCTTGTAACATCTGAAAATTTGGATAACACCAAAAAGTATCAGCGAAACAAATCAAAGAAAGATTCGAAATGCTCGAGGGACTTAGACTCGTAAAAAAGCGGATGTATCAGCTTGATGTTGACCATCAGTGCACTTCCTGATGCCACAGTAAATGGTGGCAACAGGCTGTTGAGAATGAATTCAGAGATGTGTTAACATCTTGTACCTTGTACTCAAGCTGGAGAGCTGCCAATTCGTCAGTGTAGTAATCTTCTTTAGGAAGGACACCATCCACTAAAGATTCCATTCGGGCAATTTTCTCCTCCCGGCTTTGCTGTATGATGGCATTACACTCCCTCTCCACCTTGTATTGCCTCACCTGCGCATCCCACATGCGATTGTGGGGCTGAATCAAATACCTTCCCCGAGATCCGATTCTTCAACTTCCTAATTCCTTAGACAAGTAGCGGTTACAGGACACTTTTGATTCTCGATAGCCTTAGTCAACCTCGTGTTCACTGCACAGAACCTAGGGAATTGCGCCGCAGATAGACTGAAAATTTTGAACACAATTTAAATGCTGAACATGCTTAAATTAAACATCAACGTCACATACATGTTAGCTGAAAATGATTTCAAAGTTTAAAAATCATACCAGACGAGTGAGTTGCTCCAAGTCCGCAGCTTGTTGTGCAATAGTCTCTTCAGCAATTTTTTCTCTTCTTAGAGCCCCTGCCAAAAGCGCCTCTGTGTTCTACATAAACAAACAGCAACACATTTTAAACGGGCTAAGTGTCAGGCCAAACTCTTAGAAATTGAGTGTGGCTTCAAACTAAATAAGCAATCATCATTCCATCGGACACTTACATTGATCCATGGCACAAATACTTGAGCAAAAACTGTCACAAAAAAAGTCAATCTCCAAGGTGGACAATATCCGTACCGTTCCTTGTAATTACGGAGATTTTAGAAGTAGGGCAATAAGATTACCAATTCGGGCTCTCACATACCTGAGCATGTTGCGTTTGAGGAGGTGGAGTATATGGCGCAATCTTCCAGTCCTCCTGAGTGATTTCAGGCAATGGAGAAAGCTCCCCCGGGGAAGGAGATCCCAACATTATTGAATGTGACATGACCACCATATCTTCGTGCTCAGAAGGACACGGAAATTCACCAGTTCCTGGAACTGAAGTTGAATTGCCAAGGCCGTTATTCCTAATCCGTACAGGCGATTCGCGCTTCGGTGAACTTGGAGATTCACCATTCTGAAAAGAAAACCGCATTCCCGAAAACCTGTGATTGAAACCGTTAGTCCTATTTTCGTCCTACACAAACTAGCTTCTGGTGAAACTTGCATCCGAATCAAGAAAAAACATTACTGCTCAAAGTGGAGACACCTTGACGGTACTGAACCTTCTCTTGGAGATGTACAACATGTTTATGATCACCAGTACCAAAGTTCCATGCTTTACCTTCTGGATTGTCGTGATAGTGACTGTCGGCGCTGGTTCTCAAGAATTTCAACGCCACGATTAAGACTGGCAGCCAGCTGATCCGTGGAAGATGAGAACGCCTTGCTGCTACGCAATCCAAGAGGGGATTTCGGCAATCCAAAAGTGATGCCAACCCCAAACTCTTCTTTCTTCCCCTCCTTCACCCTAGGAGAAACACTCATGGTAGGCGCGACAAGGTTAGAAGTCGGTTCTTGCAATTCCGGCTGCGCAGATGATTCGGATATGGGTTCTTCCTTTTCACTGGATCCATCAACTGATCCGAGCTTGCTACTCCAATCTGCTGTTTCTTCCGTGTTCAATTCAGTCTTCATCGAAAGCTCCTTCGCCTCCACATCCGATGCAGAACTTCCATCAGCACTTACGTCCACGCTATCATCCTCACCAATCTTCTCTTCGAGCGGCATGTCAGTTTCTTTTATTTCATTCGGAGCGATAGTCATGGGCTGTCCCAAGCTCAGTCTCAGAAGGTTGTAGCTGCGACGGGCATTCCATCCACTAGACAGTCCTCCAGCAGAACCTTCAGTCTGAATACTATTGCATTTCATCCTCATGAGTTCATCCTGCAGCATCATACCCAGAACCATTCATTACACCCTCAAATGCAACACACACACAAACTGCTTCACATGAAACCCTCGTCCCCCACCGTTTCCACTACTCACTGACACGCATCAACCTCCAACCCTTACTCTGAAGCATGCACATTCTGCTTCAACCCTACCTTCAGTTGACGGATCTGTTCACGCAACAGATTCACATCGTTACCAAGTTCTTCGTTCACTACTGCTTTGTTCTGTATAGCTTTCGCTCTCTGAGCAAATCTCAGTGTACTCAGCGTCTCAGTCCGACAACTGTACCACCAATCCACAACCTCTTTGTTAGAACTTTCACTTCACTTATCAACCACATCACGTACCCAAACTGCACAAACGATCCCTCCTACCTGCTGGCTGGAGAGATGGCACATATCATCGCAAGCTTCGCATTGCCGCCCAGTGATTCTTGAAGAAGGAACGTCAGCCTCGAACTCCGGTACGGGATATGACGATGTTTCCCACTTTGTGCTACTTCCGCCAAGATGTTGATCACGTTCCTGCCCACACCACCAAAACAACACGCTTTCGTCACAATACTGCCACTTCCTCTCCACTGCAACCCCCACGTCATGCCACCTTCCACCGTTCCCATTTCGCCCTCAACCAGTGCCGCCCGTCACCTCACGTTCCTACTTACCACATTGCAACAACACCAACCAGACGCGGCTCCTTGGACGCCTGGGGATCAACTCCTCGGGTTCCGGATGTCACTCACCCAAGTTGAGACAACGACTTGTTGATGTTGCCAGCCTCTTTCAAACGATCTCCGGCAGCCCCTGTCTGCTTTTGTCTTTCCGAGCCCGCCAAATCTACCAAGTTCATTCTGCTTGTTCTCACACTGCTCACACCCTCCGCAACACTCTGCCCACACCCCAAACACTCCTCATCATCACTCTCGAACGCTTCAAGGAAGCTCAATGCCTAACTTGGACATTCCTCAACTCACAACACCCCATTCACTTCAATCACTTCGCAAGCACTAGGCAAATCCGAGCACCTTCCACACCCACGGAAACTCCACCACGTTCACGTCGGCATCAACATTGCTAATTCAGTACCTTGGATCGAGACTCGATCACAAAAGTAAACACGCTGTGCGACCGCGAACTCTCGTTGTTCATCGCTGTTGACCCGACTCTTCTATTCGCGGAGCCCTGCATTCAAAACACACCACATTCCCACTCGATCTCATCCCCTTACGCTCCACATTCACCCACGCAATCATTCTGCTTTCCCTCCAATACATGCCACTCCCAGGCTTTGCACGAGGAACACCTAAGCCGTGTCACCAACCCACACCACAACGCAAACCTCTACTGCAAACTTCGCCACATACCCGAACGAGAAGGCTTATCACGTCATCCATGTTCGACACATACTCTTCCGTCAACCCCTCCACGTAAACACCGGTCTTCGTGTCTTCCCTGATCTGTTCACACACCCTGTAATCAGTTCCGGACCAACGTCATGCACGCATGCCATCCCACATTCCAACTTCACCAAACACATCAAACACTTGGTTCAACAGCGAACCAGGAGATTCTTTTGGGTCGGCTCCAGTAGATCTGTAATTTGTTCGTTGTATATCTGCCACACCACAGTCCCCGTAATCCGTCAGCACACATGCATTCCTTCTGTCACCCCCATCCCATTCCTCCGCACAGTCATTACTGCCATCAAATTTCACGCCACCTCCACTACCTCAAGGAACGAGCAGCGGCATTGATATCGCAGCTGCTTCTCCACATTGTTCCGCTCTTCCTGCATCGAAACGGAAACGCTTGTAAGCCGGAGTACCACTGGGCTACGTTCACTACCCTCACTGTCCCAAACAACACCCAGATTGCCTTCAACATGCTCCGTTGCACGCATTGTGTGAGCTAAGCATCACAAACACGTAATGCTTGCACTGCCGATGTACCTGCTGGATGCGGGAAAACAGCTGTTCGAACACACGTGGTGTGATACCACGCTCCTCTGTTACACTTGCATCCGTCCCTGAAGTAGGCAGGATACCCCACATGGTATGCGTTTTACCGCTTCCTGTCTGTTTCGCATGACACAAAAGAGAGAGTGAGTGTTCTCGCATCAAACCAAGGACGGATAACTCTGCAAATGATCGTACTCGGTGGCGGCGGCTGTCAACAATCACCAACTTAGACTTGGCAAGACACGACCACGTTGTGACAACATGCTGAGCACGGTACCTGGCCGTAGGCAAAGATGGAACTGTTGAATCCAGCCAAGCAGTTCTCCACCATGGGTCGACCCACCATTTCAAAAACAGCTTCCTGAGAGTGACATTACAATGGCATCAAACCATCAACTTCCAAATGAGATACGCACATGAGAATTTCAGCGACACGTTATCCCACTCAATGGTTGCTTTCAGGCGACATGACATTTTAGAGCAAGAGGACTAACCTGAGACTCAGTTTCACCTGCCACAGAATCGAATGTGAATTGCTGGTCACCGAGCGACAGGGAGTCACCAGATAATTTTTGCACTATATTTGTGGCCTCTTCAGCAGCCTCCTTTTTATTGAGGGGGCGCATTCTTACGATTACCTACAAGAAGTCGGTCAACCACAAAGAGTGAGAGGGAACCGGGCGTACACAACGGCTTTTGAGGAAATGAGTTCTACTGGTAGGTTCGTAGTATTCTAAGCAACGTAAAAAGCTACTTGTGTGTTACACTTTGAACTCGAAAATTGCACTGGGACTCTCTGACCTTTACTCCAGAATCTGATGGGTCCACTGAAGAAGGATTTGCGACGCCCTCACTTGGCCCTGTGTGAGCTTCCCAACTGAGCTTTCTCTTTGAACCATTTTCTTGCTCTGGTCCAGCACCTGTGGCGATCTGTGCATTTGCTTCGGGGTGTTCGTTCGAAGGAAAAACATTTCGAGCAGGAGATGGTTTGGGACCCTTGGCGACCAGAGCAGGGCTGAGAACAACGGTATCTTTGACAGGAGTTCTAGACCCTTTCGATGCCCATGAAGGCTTGGTCTGGGGCGTCTCCACGTTGGCTGTGCCATCGAAAGCTACGTTTTCACCATTGTTGCGACCCCTACGTTTCGTCGGGGTCTCAACAATGGGGACGATCTTCTGCCTCAAACCGAGGCCGAAGGGGTCCCTCTCAAATTGGGGCGGCTCTCGCCCCCGTGATCCTCCGGTTTTCCCCTTCATCGTCCCTGATGTTTACCTTCCACCGATCGCTACCTCAAGATCTAGAATCCAGGGCGATAGCTGCTATTCGACCAACCCTTCAGTCAGAACCCTCTAGAGCATATCATTTGGAGAGGAGACAACAACAGGAAAGAAATGATGAACTAAACTTCCACCAATGCTGATCAAAATACCTAAGTAGACCGCCACTCTCACGAACCTCACAGCCAGCACCTGATTCCGGCAAGTCCACTACAATGCTTCAATCGTTGTCGGGAGTCACCAACTTCACACTGTTCCATACACATTCAAGCTCTCAGCATTTGTAACCCACAACAGAGAACCCACATTCGTTCTCCAATGCAAGCGATCGATCCTCATAAACCCAGATCCTCGCACAACCCAACGACTAGTACGACTACAACACCTACGAAGCGTTGCACGAACAAGTCAATACACTACCACCTAAACGCAAGAGCAGCAAAACAGTTCAAAATCTCTAATTACCAAACAAAATCATTCAGAATCACTCAACATCCTGAACTGCACTTTAAATTTCCGCAACCGAAGCAACCGGTTACCTCCCTCAGAGCGGCATTTGAGCACCCGATCTCCAGGGCACAGTGCAACAGGTATGCTTCAAACTTCCGGGATTTCTAAACGACTCTCTGATTCAGGAGACGGTGAAAAAAAACAAAAACTCAAACTCCCCCCCCCCACGATGCCACATTATTGTACAAATGATTGAAGAGGCGGTTGGCTGCAGGAGTGAGCAAAAGAATGAATAAGACCCACCTGGCGTGAGGATCTTCTTCGGTGGTGATCCTGCGATTGATCGGCTTCTGGCCACCACATTCAAACGGCACCACAAGAGAAGCAGCGCGCACCCCAGCGAAGCAGGACCGTTGGCCATTCAAACGACGATGTGGCCACAGTTTCTTCCCTCCCTCTCCTTTCGCTGGTACACTCCATGGACACCGCTCCCCCTCTTTGTCCGCCGACATCGGACGATCCCATTCCGACGATGGACGATACTTCACGTCGCTGAGCTTCGTCCGTCGGAACTGATGGGTATGTATGACTCGTTTTATTGTTGGTTGTCAATTCTAGAGATAGTGTGGGAGCTTTTGTTGACCATTTTCCATTCAAGGTTTGATGGAGATTGCTTTACTAAGTTATGCATTCTATGTTAGTGTATAGTTTGTGTCATGGATTCACTTTCCTTTTGGTGATGTGTGTTATTATTTTTAATTTACTGAATAGTAAGAATCGTCTTCCAAATAGAGAATGTACAAATTGTTTGGGGTACAAAAACAAAGTTTTCACAATTATTAGTATAAAATGTTTTATATTCTAAGATACTACATAGTTTTTAATTTGTTGATGCTCAAAAATCCAAAAAATAATAATTAATTAGCTAAGTGTGTGTATATATATATATATATATATATAGAGAGAGAGAGAGAGAGAGAGAGAGAAAAAAAATTAAAAGGTTTCAAATAATAATTGTATTAGTTATAGTTCTAAAACATGTTATGTATTCTTTTAATTACATTGTAATTTAATTGACTTGTTTCTAACTTCTTGCTATTTATTTTAAAGAAGTATTTTGATGTCTTTTAATAGATATATATATATATATATATATATATATATATATATATATATATTATATTTAATTATACTAGTAAAAATATTAGTTATGTAATTTTGATTTAGTCATCTATATATGTATAAAAGAATAATCATGTTCAAGTATGTGTATATATATATATATATATATATAATTTCCAGATATAAATTATTAAATATGATATTCAGTTTTTATGTGTTTATTGTCAATTCAAGCATTTCTTTTTGGTATTTAACCAAAAATAAGTAAAAAATAGCTTAAAATAATTATTTACATCATTAACTTTTTATTATAATAGAAGGCTGTATTAATGTGTATATATTATATAGACCAAATAATGTGTTCTAATATATTTCTGCATATACATGTTTGTAGAAAACATAAACAAATTCAAACTTTTAAAATCAAAATTTGTACTTAAAGTATTGCAATGAGTGTGTTTAAGGAAACACGCAATAAAATATAAACAAAACAGGCTATATTAGCACACCATGAATATTTGAAACACATTGTTAATTGAACATTTAATATAATCACGTAATTATTAAAAATCGGAAATCAATTTAAGCACAAAAAATTCCCCTAAAATTAACAATCATCTTTAAAATTTACAGAAATTGCTATTTAAAAAAATATAAAAAATTGTTCTAAGTGTATAAACACTACAAGCTGAGGTCTAAATCAAGCTTCCTACTGCAATTGCAAAATAAATAATTCAGTATTTTTCCGAATTCTAACTTATTGCATTTTGAGTTTTGCCCCACTCACAAATACTTAAAACCTGCAGTAAACCCTAATTCGTGACTTCCAGAAAAGGGCGAAGGGACCCGATCCGTCCTCCCGATCTGATTTGTTGCTCTGCACCCGTTGCCGGAACTCCAGCACATCGATGGATTGATTTGGTTTCCTTCGGCAGTTGGTTTCCCTCGATATTCACGCACGCGCCACGTACTGACGTTTTCGGCATCGCCTCCACGAACATTCTCTGTCAAGGAGGGCGAATTATGGCCGATCTCGTATTCTGGGACGAGAACCTCGACCTAATCCACGATAAAATCCATGCCTCGCGGTTTGCATAAAATGCATTCACTGATTTTCAGGAAAGTTGATTGGTGACTTGTGAAGTCTGTCGCAGGTTTCTTTCGCAAGCAAGAATTGCTGTGGTTCTAAGAGGTGCTGCTGTTGCATGATTTTGTTCCAAATAGTAAAATTGTACATGTGACTCAAATAACCCAGACTCATAGTTAAGTCAGACCTCGTCCATGTAAAGTTTGTTACTAAAAAAGAGATCATGGCGAGAGTAATCCCCATTCGGTTAACACACTGCTACTGCAGGGTTGGGCTGCATTACTGTGCTGTAGCAAGCTGCCGCTGCGAGCCTGCCTCGAGGGCTCGATGTCCAACTTTTCTGCGCCGCTGGACAGGCTTCGTCGAACGGGTCTTCCCTTCCGGGATGGCATCTCTGCCCGTAAGCTCGGGGAATTTCACTCAGGAATCCTGAAGCACCCCTTCACCACGACGGTTGAACGTTGAAGAATATTGCAAGCTTATATAGGAGCTAACTGAACTTACTGCGATAGATATGGTATAAGTACATGCTGGCACAGTCGCACTAAATTTAGAATCAAAATCAATTATGTAAGAAAAGCAAATGGTGTGCTGCTTCAGGATCAGAAAGAGCCCTGGAGGACATGGTTGTAGAGACAAGACCTTGGTGATTTGCCCTTACGAAGTGATGGAAACGTTGCTCCGTGGTTGATCGGGTTCAGAATCAGCTCAGGATGGATGATTGTCAGTGCCGACACCGTGTTCGTTCACCTAAAGCACCCACAAATTTAAGCACATGTTCTGAACGTAGCTGAAAGGCTGAAAAAGCAACGCAATGCCCAAGAGTTTCTTCAGAAAATTGAAATCACAGCTCACTCGAAATTGATTCACTCCAGATATGAGCACAACTTGCACGATGTAGGTGTGTTGAATAATCCCCACGGGATCAACAGTTACAGCTTTTGCAATTTAATTATACCCTAGGAATCATGCTTTGAGGGCCATTTGCAGCTTTTATTCAGATGTTCCATTCCCTGCACTTGCACTTAGTGTACTAAGCTCTTAGTGTACTAAGCTCTCCCATCCCTAATTGCAGAGTTCAAAGTCCACTGCAGTCAGAGTAGCGAGACGCTTCGACGAACGCCAGCAGCTCCATGTTGGGAGAATTCATCTGAACTGGATCCAATCTACATATAACTCTAGATGATGTCAAGTGCTCAAGTCTACGTTCACAAACCGCAGCTCTGAATCATCGAAAAAACTCGCATATCGCTAAGACATAGCGTATACCTTTTAGACATTCGTCCTTCACATTGATAATAGGTGCTTCTCCCGCAGCTTCTCAACCTCTAAATACGCAGTACCATAGGGCAAGAACTCCTGCGCATGTTCCTGTGCAAGCTCGCGCAACCCATCCGCCAGCTTAGGAATCGACATAATCTCATCATTCGTAAGCATCCTAACGAATCTCGCCGGGTTTCCAGCCCATAGCTCACCGGCCGGAACTCTCCTTCCAGGCGGCAACAACGACCCCGACCCCAGCATGGAATTCATCTCCACCAGCGACCCTTCCAGCAGCACGCACCTCTGCCCTACAACGGCTTCATCCTCCACGGTACAGGACCTCAGTGTACTAAACGACCCAATGGTGCAGTACTTACCGATCAGAGTCTCCGCAGACAGCCCCGTGGGCGCCGTGCTCACGGCGTGAAGTACACACTTGTCCCCGACGCTCGACGAAAACCCCACAACGATGCGGTTCAAATCACCCCGCAGCACCGAACCATACCACACTGTGGCTCGATCCTGCACGTCCACTGCGCCCGCGAGAACCACATTGGGCGCGACAAATGCGTCCACAGCCACAATCGGCACTCGGTGACCTACGGGAACAATCTGACGTTGCCCTTTGAAATCCCATTCTACGTGATGATTGTCAGCTACATAGGTCTTTCTACCTGGATGCTTTGATAAGTGCTGTGCGACTGCTCCCTGTCGCAGGAGATTGCGAGCTACGCTGCGTAGCGCCATCGCCACGGCCTTGTTGCAATTGCAATACTTCAACCCCCCAAATACACACACAGACAAGCAATCACTGCGCACGTCGTCTGCCTCTACCGTGCCCTTTCGGTCCTGTGCCAGGGCCGGGTCAACCTACCGGCTTACCGGTTTGGCCCGGCCCGGGGCGGCTCAAGCTTCCATCTGTGGCTTAACGCTTGGTAATTATTTTCATGCTAATAATATTTATTTTGTGTACCATTTTTTTTACCACTTTTACTTCGATATGGACTTTTTCCATGGATACCTCAGATTTTTTTCGTAACAAACTTCAAGGACACCAACAATGACCTTCAAAAACAATTGTTACGTTTGATTATTATCATTATTTTTTGTATTAACTTTTGCAATATTTGAAGGATTTTTTTAAGGGTCTATATTACTATTTTTAAATGTTTAAGAAATTTTATAAAAATCCTTTTTATTTTAGAAAATTAATTGTTTTTAGTTTTTTTCTATTTCTATTTTTCATTCAATTATTTTTCTGTTAGACAATATTTTATTCATTAACATATTTTTTAAGTCATGCAATAGGACATGTCTTCTCTGTCTTCACAGATTTAAAGATTTTTTATTATATATATATATATATATATATATATATACATATATGCAAATTATCTTATCCTGTATTTTGTAATAATTGTTCTTACATAAACATTTATTTGTTTTTGTTAATGTTCCTTGGTTTTTGCATATTATTACATTTCCAACTATTTTACATAACAAGTTCTAGTTTACAAACCATAATGAGACTGCATAAACTTATGTATGAAATTAATTTAGATTCACACAAAATGTTTTTATTAGACAGAAATATAATGTTATGAAGGCTGCTGTTTTTAATTTTTATCATTTTATTTTTTGATAAACTGTATTTATATTTATTCTGAATTTAGACACGTCTATATATAGACCCACTGAAATTAAAAATAGAATGATGATACATACATACATACACACACATACAAACATACATTAGATTTTAATGTCATGTTGCCAATTCACAATTATATTTTTTCAAAATATCAAAGACAATGTTGTTAATCATAAAAAGAAAATAATAATAAAAATCCATAAATATTTGAGTAAGGCAACATACTGAATTTCAATATCTTTAATCACAAAATATTCAAACTGAAAATTTAATAATAAAGTCAGATAATATATTAATAGAAAAAAATTCCAAATAATAGTAAATGCTGTTGCCCATGTTTTTTTTTTAATTTTTTAATTTTTTTGGTGCAGGGAGTTGGGGTTCCTTTGCTTCTTAACTAACCCAGTTTGTTGGCCAGTTGAGGTAGCAATTCGTTGGTTTGTGGAGTCAAGGGTTTAGGATGAGAGACTTGCAGTTGTTGCACCGAATGCAGGGTTTACTGCTCCACACTTCCTTTGAATGAATGCTCCTTTTTTGCTTTCGTTGGAAAGAGCTTTCTGGCATGAACTTGAACATGGATTGAACATGCTACCAATACCTCCAGAGCAGGTTTTAACGACAGAAAGTCTGCGTTGTTTTCTAAGTAGCCGTGACAGCATCAGAGTGTTGTATTTGGTTGAGTTTCTGATACCTGCTCTTCGATATCTGTATGTTGGGATAAGAAAATTAGGTGAAACTAACGATTGAGCTGGCTCATTACTAAACCGAGGATATGACTGAGGAAGAGGGGCTAGAGTGGAGATTTTAGCAGGAATGAGGATCACTGAATAGAAGGTCCCAAACAACTACAATGCTTGCTTAGGTGAGACATTCATGAGCGGTACTGTTTGCACTGGGAGGCCTTTAAACTTGCAACAACATGGTGGGCCTCGGTTGGGATTAGCATCAGTCGGGCTATAAGATGATAGTGATTATTACTCGTTTTTGTCGTGAATGGGCATTTGGGCTTTAGGATAATTAGTTGTCTTATGTATGGATGCAGGCGGTAACCCACTCATGCTGAGGTCAACCTCATTTTCTGAACATTTGGAAGGGTTTTCGGTTTCCAGCTTTATAGGGTTCAGCGAGATGCATCACTTCTCTTAGTCTCCAGACTTTCCATTAGAATTTCCCATACTAAGGCTGGATAAATTGTCTTAAACAACCACATTTTATGTGCAAGTGTTAGCGAAGTCAAAACTTGTGCTGGAGGCACTGATGAAAGCTCTAATATCTGTATTTTAGAGGTCATAAAAGCACGGCATTTCATAGATTGAACAGTAACGGGTTTTGTCAGTTGATGCTTGAGGTGGAATATTGATCTTGTTCTACCTGTCAATCTACACATATGTCTGAGACTATGTTTTGTGTGATGATAAATCTGGATTTGTAAACCTTGTAATTGAACGTACTTTTATTTAATCCAGAGCTACATATTCTTGGAGCTGAAAAAGGAATCAATTGAACGTGCTGGTCTTCATGGAGGCGTAGACTCTGAGACTTCAAGGTCGGCACATGCGGCCACGCCATGATTCAAGGCAACTCTTCTACCGAGCCAATCTCCAAGAACAATGGACATGATTCAGGTGGTAGGGCGAGAGTGGGTGAAAGGTTGGGCATAATAAGACCAACTTCAGTTCATAGAAGCATGTATTATATATGTAATATATATGTACTGAAGCCTGAAATTGTATCCTATTCTTCGCATATCTGTAGTCGCATTGATGTGCAAAAATACAGCTTATACTGAAAAACTTACATGAAATCTTTGAAGCTGAATACCACAAATTGCAGAACTGGCAATTAAACAAAATCGATAGTTGCAAATACGAAATTAGAAGGTAGGATACCTGTATTGCATAAAAACCAGGGGAAAGCCCTCAGACACAGATGAATTAGTCACTGACGTTGAAGTACTGAGGGTGCTTGTCTGTGCATGCTTGAACGTCTTGTCTTTTGAAGCCTTTGCGCGGAGATGAGTTCGTAGTTGCAATGCACATATCCAGCATCTTCTTCATTATTTTCTCTCCGCGAGGTACTCCTGATTTTGGAATTTAGGCAGTGGAATCCACTGAACCACAGCCAAAAAGTACCAGATTGTTGGAAAGTGCACTGAAACTGCATCAAGGTTATTTACCAGGGGAACCTTGTTTATATGGCAGGACGACTAGAGATCAAATGTTTAGATCAAAAGTGCCCTGGCGTTAGTCAGTTCTGACGCTTTCGCGGTGATTTTAAATGTGAGTGGCCGCAACACACACATGAAGAACTAATCTGAGAACATGTCGGAACTTCTCCCAAACCTTCCTCGGTGAGCTTGTCGTAACAAACGGAAGCACTGTTAAGTTCATGGAAGTTACGTAATAAGCCACTTTCAACACCCAAGTTGGGCATCTACGCTGTCTATATCATTGAAACATGGGAGCAACAGCTCCTCATTAGGACATCTGAAAGGGGACATTAAGTTTTACACTCTTTATCAAAATTGAAATCCTAACCAGCTCAAGATTTTCAAAGTAACAGGTCAGAAAGTAGAGAAGCAAAAGAAGGGCCTTCGCCAACACTTTTTGAACATCAGATTATAGAAAAGCAAAACATAATTGGAAACCTAACTGTTTCCGAGGGGAGTAAGAATTTGCCTGAAACCAATCACTTGGACAAATTCCGGATCGATCTGCATCGTTAACACGTAAGTCCATCAGAAAATCGTTTACATGCGCTGCGTTGTAAGATGGAAATCAATTCTTTCGGCCAAGAGGATCATCAGAATGCACTTTCACTAACAACTACCCGAACAGCAGCAAGTAAAAATCCACAGCCATCAAAACCACTTCGCAAAGAGAGCTGTGTGTACCCCAGTCTCCTCCAGAACCTCTCGTTCGATTCCGGCGAATATATCCTCACCCTTCAATTCGAGCAGAAGGACTTATTAGCTGCTTCATTCTGTGGAACTTAGCTATTTCAAAAGAAATCAAGAAAATGCAATACAAGGGAAATCGCAGACCTGTTTGATAACCCCTGTTGGCCTCTTCCATTCGCCTTGACTCCAAATTCCATGCTTCTCTTGTATGGCTAGAATCTGCATTCAGAGGATAAACTTCACGTGTTGGTACAACAGACAACATTGTTCTCTAATAATGAAATTCAATGATCATTTTAAACGTGTTGAATGACTCTTGTCCGTCATTCAAGACGAATGCACGTGTGAGAGGCATTTTTAGGAAGAGAATTGGGTTCATTCTCTGGGAGCCGAAGAACGAGCATCACGTAAGTGGGGTTTGCATGATGATATTCAAAGCCTGCCTGCACTTAGCATAGGAGACACAAGTGCTTACAGCTCCATTCAATCCACCAGCTAGGGTTGAACTCAACGTGAGTACAGATAAATGGACTCGACTATTGAGGTTAAATTTGAATACTTCTTCGCTACTTTCTGACGGAGTGGATGGATATGTGGTCATAAACGTACAAATAGATTTGAATAAATCTACTGTAACACATTCTTGCACATACAACCTAAGCACCATGTTGGAAGAAAACCTCCATTGCCAGATGCACGTATCTGCTATACCCAGATGGTAGCTTCAAACAAACACATGTATTGCATGTGTGGATAGCTAACTTGTTGGTTATGTTTCTAACTTATCAATCAACTATAAGCATATATAAAGTCAAATATATATCTATAAAGCTTCTAAGAAGCTTTATCACAAGATAATATCAAATCTATCTACATTTAACTTCTACCTAGCACTTCTTATCTACGTAAATATGTATGTCCATGACAATCTATCACTTGGGGCTCTAAAAAAATAGACAAGGATAGCTACATCATCTACAAATGTAGAAACAAAGGCAATTGCAGAAGGTATTAAGGATGTCATCCAATTAAAGACATTGCTACAAAGAATTAAAGCAAGAAAAATTTAATCAATTTCTATTTATTACGATAATCAAAGTACAATTAAATCCTCTAAAAATTTGATTTGTTATACTAGATCTAAATTAGTTAAAGTAAGGCATCACTTTATTTGTAAAAATATCCTCATAAGGATAGTAGAATTTTTCTATGTATCCACACATGAACAAATTACAAATATAATGATTAAACCTCTAGGCTAAGAAAAATTTATAGAATTCAAGTAAAATTTGGGCATCTATAGTCTTAAAAATGCTTAATAAGCATTTTTTAATACCAAGGATTTAATACCATGTTGAACATGATGATCCTTATATAACAAAGTAAGAAATTTAGGATAAGCTCCCTCATCTATTGTACAACTATGAGGTAAAAAATTGAAAACCTAGCAAGATTTTTTACAATAGAAAGAAGAGACAAAAAATCTCGCAATTAGTTTTTCACTTCTCAATTAGTCTTATACAATTTCAACCACTACTTAAAATTATTACTACATAACCAAGATGTTCAATCCTTACAATCTCAAAGGCTTACAACTCCAATGTAGAAGCTATAAAATCTGATCACAACCTATTGACGCATCTTAATTGCCTCAACAATAATAGGAAATATAGATTATTCAACTTTGGTGACAACACTTATTTCACAATAGCATCTAAAACAATTGATAACATAATAGAAATAGACTTTGAGCAAAAAAGAGCAATTACCTTAAGAAGGGGGATTCTATGAATTGCTTATTGATGGATTGAATAAAATAGTCTCTCATAAATATGGTGATATGAATGAATAGTTAATCCAAGAAAATAAATTATGCATATAATATTAGAAGACATGACTTCTATTGTATGAAATTACAAAAAATGTGAAGTCATTTTAGCTTCCTTCCAAAAGAATAAACAAAGACTACATGTTATGTGTATTAAACTTACCATAGAAATCTGCTGCACAATCTTGTAGTGGTTCCAATTCTCAAAGTTCAATCAATGTCTTTCAATATCATGATGCTATAAGAAGATGAAATCACCATAGTCTTCAGATGATATATACAAATAAATTAGAATATAAATACTTCAGTTTGTTTGTTTTAGAATATATCACCTAGACTAATTATCAAGGTGAAGGAGGGTGGTGTCGTGTTGTGGTTCGGCTATTATATGAAAATAATGTAATTATGTACTTAATATATAATTTATTAAGTAACATGGTGAGAGCCATATTAGTAGATTTTAATTGGTTGTAGAATACAATTTGATTATTACCTTGAGAAGAGGTTGTTTAAAAAGATTACTATAGAATTTGTATAATTTTAATTTTCTTTTGATAGTGACTTTTAAGATTGATTTTGGTTGATAGTAACTTCTAAATATTTAGAATCACCTTTGTTAGACATTGGTGACTTTTGAAAACTTCTTTTGGTTCTTTTATTTGGTGTTTAGAGCATAAATTATGTAAATCTTATAAGAAAAAGGATTGAAGAAGGATTTTGGTAGCAAAAGGAGTAATTAGGGCACCAATATAGATGAATGGAGATGAATAATGAAAATCTCCATTCCTATTGGTCAAAAATCATGACCAATTGGCTTTGAGGAGGCTACCTGAGGCCATATTAGAGATTAGGGTTAGTTTTTCGAGGCCATTTGGATTTTGAAGGCAAGGATCAAAAGGTTTAGATTTTTGGCTGTGGTTTTGATATAAGTTTTATGTCATTTGGGGTTTTTATGAAGAAGTTATAGGCGCTCAAAGTTAAGGTATTAGTTTTGGACCTACTATCACTCTTTTGGGCATAACGCACGCGTATAGATAGCAATTGAGGATCGGCAACTGCGACTAGAGAGAACACTTTTGCGGCTATACTTTTTATATACTGCTTACTGAATTCCAAGTTGAAATAAAGGAGTTATTGGATTTTGAAGTCAATACTTGGAATCTAAGGGTAGTAAGTAGCCTGATTTACTTGTGCTTGTGATTTGAGCTATATCTTAGACAATTTGATGAGGTTTTAGCTCAAAATTTCCAAGATTGTGTATAATCTTGTTATAAAGCTTTCTACATAAGTTTTGTGGAATTTAGAGTTTGGATTTTTGAGATATAAGGAAAATAGTTTTTCGGGTGCTTGTAAATTAGGGTTTAGAGTGCCTGCTAGGGTTTCATGGATGCCAAAAGATCGAAAGTGAATTTGCAATTTTTTTTTTGTGGTAAAAGTTAAGGGTGAATTCTACCTATCTTGTAAATTTGAGATAAACTGAACAGTTAGATCAATAGTTATGATTTTCTAAAATTTGGGGCAAAAAAACCTTTCATGAGAAAAATATGTTTTGAAGGGATTTTGTTATATTTGGAGTTTTATACAAAAATAAAGGAGTTTTGGAAGCTAAGACAAGAATCATATAAAGGTTTAAGCTACATTCTCTACAACTAGATACCTAATGTATTCCCAAATAGCAAATCACGCCATACTACAATGGATTGGAGTAAAACCATACTCACTCAATCACATGGTTATTACCATAGTAGATAGCTAATAATAGTATCTTGTAGATAAGGATCTAACTATCAGTCACTGCTACAAATGACTGTGCAAGTAACAATTCACAAGAACATGCATTGTATCACTCAGAAGTAAGATCATATCTAGTTGTTGTTTCTATTATTGTGCAAATATGATAGTACTTTGATGATGAGGTTCTACCTACATTGTTTTCCATGGGAAAATTGGTGTGTCCAAGGTGTGTGTATGATGGCCACAGGGTCTCTCACCCAGATCTGTCACAGTTTCTAAAACCTCATAGGAACTTTGATAGAGGCTCTCCTAGTCTTCAGTCTAAATCAAGAGAAGCTTCAAAGATATCATTTCTTCCCTGCAATCTAAATCAAGCTTGGTGTTGGTTTAATTAGCTGCTGCATTCTGCAGAAATTGTTGAGATGCTGAGAATATTACACTGTTGTTAGAGAACATTTGAAACATTCTGTTCTGATAAGAAAATCAATGCTCATTTCACATGCCTCTTGGATGGAGCTAACTGGAGCTATTGCATTTATCAGTTTGTGCTGTAAGTAGAAAGTTGTAATGTCACACAAGTTCAAGTATGCAAGAGCCAGTGGGAATACATTACACTGGTGCTCAGTAATGGTAGCAAGGTTTTCACAGCATGCAGGGCCATTTGGCCTCCATATTGTTTCTAGATTATGAAGAGAGTTGTGGCCCCTGCATAACCACAGTTGGATGATATGATGTGCTCCCTCAGGCACAAGACACAATGTTATGATATGCTGGGTAATCCATGTGAAACTTTATCTGCATTCAAAATGGAATGCAGATATGAATGCGATTCAATAAACTCTCACTATTCAAGCTGGACATTTTTTCACTATTGTCAAGATATCCATTCAATTCACTGTTTCTTTTGTATTGAATGCCGTATTCACTAAAATCACATGCTTAACATCCACATTGTAAGGTGTTTCTCCTGCTGCCTTCGCATTTAATGTCAATTCGTCGCTGATTCTATATTCCTGATCGACTCCACCGATGTGCTTCAGCGAGTGCGGTTCACGTCGTTGACCCATTTTATAGCACGAAAGAATTTAATATCGTAGATATTCAGTGAAGAAATGCTCCTACCTACTGGGTTTGTGAAGATGTCGAACTGCAGCTCACCTTCAGTGGCGATTGTGCTCTTCAAGTTGGGTTTACCTTGGAATTCAATAGCCAGCATTCTTTGTTAAGAACAAGGACTGAGGGAAATTTCTGTTCCTTTCGTCTGGGCTCAGAAGAGCAGAGTATTCCCTGCATAGTCTGAATATAGATCACTAGCACACCGCAATCATCGTGATAAGAATGATTTTAACATGGACCTTGAATTGTGATGTGTTCCACTGCAGTGATCCAGGGGGTCAGACTCGAGCTTTATTGGAGTACACTAGAGGCTAGTAATTAATTTTGCCGAATGGCAGGAAGAGCACTTGGGTTATACTCTTAGTAACGAGAAATCGGTAGACTACAGAACTAGGTTTTTGCAAGGAGATGCAGGATTGGAAGGACATTGCTATTGGCTGATAACTGCTGTCGTCTGGGTGCTGCCCATGTTGATGACTCTCTAAGCTCTCCAGTGACATGTGCAAGTTCTCTGTGCACACAAGTCAATGCTAAATGTTTATGACTGTCACTTGTGTAATTGATTTCACAGTGTACGTAAAATTCTTGCACATGACCACAACTAATTCTCGTTCTTGCTTCTGTTTGAACTACCATTGAGAGCATGGTTTTTACTAAGAGTGCATCAGCATGTCATGTTTTGATTTTGTACATGAACTTAAACAAATGAGGAACATTGCCGAGATAATTTGTAGAACTATGCTGCTTGAATATAGGAAATAATAGGCCAAGCTGATAGTGGAAAGTACCAGAACTAATCTTTCCACAGCTAGAGGTTGGAATTCATATTTGAAGAAGATGCTCTTGAGGAGCCAACCAAACGATTCTGATTGTCGGCAACCGGATCTTGCTCTCAGACTGTAAACAAGAATCCTACTTCACTGATCTATGATTTCATTGCTTCATGAGTGCAGCTTTTTCCTAGTTCGAATTGTTAAAATGATGGCTTCTAGAA